CTAGTTTACAGACCCTGGGTTAGGGCACAGAAGGGGGGGGACGTCGAAATTACATCGTCAGAGTCAGACAACCAAGTCCACTAGGATGCCCTAACTTATTGGTTCAACTGTTTTTTCTCCTGACCCGTTAATGCATCCAAGTAAGATCAGTTCAGTTCGCCTCTCAGTCATAACAGTAATCTTAGCCCAGTCTGTGCCCTAAGCCAGGGTCTGTAATCTAGCCAGCGTGTACTGATGCAGTAAAGCCAGCGTGCAACATTGTCTGATGTGTGGCGTTCCGCTCCAGATGCCAGTAATGTGCGCTACGCTGCAGACTCGTGGATCCACACATGGTCAGGATCAAGTTATTCTCTGCCCACATGGCTCTGCCTCCCTGCTCCCTCTGTCCAGAGGATTCCCTGACTGGCTGCTCTTGCCTGGAGCTGAAGAACAATTAGCAGTGGCCTTGCCTCTTTGATGCAAGCTGTGTGGTGTTGATTTGCTAATTGTCTAAGTAGATTCCCATGTGAAACCAAACTCTTTATTATGTTTCCACAAATAAATTCTAAATTTGACATCCTCATGCTATCTGGGCAACAAACACAAAGACTTCTTTGATGCCAGATCAACTAAGATCACGTGCAAACAATTTACCTGAGATACCACAGAAGAGTGCGTATAAACAGACTTCTAGCCTTGAATCTAAACCGAGTTTTAAGTACGTGGCCCCTGTTCTTCATTTGACTACACACGTCTTAACAGGATGAGCCGTTTCCCTTTCCACTGCTGGACACTAATGTGTTTCTCAATTCAGATGAACTAACCACAACAGACTGAAAGTAAGCAGAAAAAACAACAACAAAATGATTTAAGTCGTGAGTGTTTAAGTTTCATGCACACAGTTAGGGGGGGACCGAACTGATGCAGGGAGAAGGAGCCAGGAGAGGGGAATGTCTGAAGGAATTCCACCAGACACAAATCCAAAAATAGTATCCATGGTAACCATTGCTGACCCTACCCACTTAATGGGCCACCCCCCCCTCCTCCTCCGCTGCCCCACCAGCATGTCGACAGGTGGCCGGCGTGTCTGCAGTGTACACCCCTACTATAATACCAACAGCAACCCCCCACTTGTGTGTCATTTCACTATGGCCATCCGTCAGAAAGATCATCATCACATGCTGCAGCAAACATGGCACTTTGACCACTTGCGAGGTATAGTCTCGCTTTACCAGACTTCAAATGAGCCAAGTCTCTCACAACCCTCCACTGAAGGCCACAAGCCTCCCTACACTGTGACTGTGGGACTCTCGAGAGACAAAGACTCGTCTCTTTCACACTCAGGCTGAAGCTCTCTGTTTCACTCTCTTCCTCTATCCTGCCCCACCCCGTTACTTGGGAGGGGTATTGCTATCATCTCATCTTTCTTCCTCCCTTTTGCCCTTTCTTTGTTGTCTTCAGCTGCCCTTTACTCTAAATCACTCATTCCCCAGCTAGCTGTTCTAGGGGTCGGGAGGATGACCATATTGCTCAAAGCCCACACGCACACGCGCACACACAGGAATCAGCCTTACATAGAGAAGATGGACAATGGACACAGCAGTGAGAATACCTAAATTACATTCAACATGAAGCAAGTGGTTGCAGAGACAGAATTAGTCAGCATGACCTTGGATGGTTAAACAAGGACTCTGACCTACAACTGGATGCTTAATCAACAAACGTGACACAGTCCTACATATAGTCAATAAGACCACATCTGTGACCTGTTTATCAGAGCATTGATGATGATTACCATGTTTTTCCCCCTCTTCCATTCTCTACTGTCTTATTATCCTCAACCAAGCAGTGATGGAAAGAATTGCAGTATTTAACAAACAGGAAATGACAAGGGAAGCCGAAATCAAACAACTGGGTTAACTCAGCACATAGCCAGACGGACACGGCTGCTTACGCAATATAAACAGTCCAATTGCAAAATAAAATAGGTCACTCACTGTATCACAGTAGGCACAGGGAAGGAGAATCAGGAGGGTTAGACAGATGCAGAGCTAGTTAAGGGATTTCCCCTGAATCAAGCAGCCTAGCCTATTCCTATAGGGAATAACCTAAAAGAATAAAGTACTATTGGTCGTACATGTGGCATTTCTGAAAGGAGTATTTGGCACCAGACTAAAGAAGCAATCTGTTCTTCCTGTGGCTGACGGGGATTTCCATTACCAAGATTTAAAACAGAGGGAATTACTTTCATCAGCTGATTTAAGATATTGACTTTATGTTCATCAGTCGTGAAAAAGCTAAAAGTTTTCAGTGGAAAAAAACCTCAGACAGACTGACAGCTGAGATGAGCACTGTCAAAACAACTTTACAACTCGACAGTGTGACTGCTCAAATACATTCATCTTAGTTCCCCATCCTACTTCACTATAGAACATTCTGCCTGACATAAGTAGACTATGCTGTGGCTGGCTGCTTTACAACTGAGGGAACTACCTGTTGGTAAGAGCTTAATCAAAGTGGCCACTGTGGATAAAGTTTGCCACAATGAATCATGACAGACCAACATCTCAGTCGAAACTGCAGAGGGTACACACCCTCTAACCTCAAATTACAACAATGAGTTGAAGGGAGCGAGGAGAAACCAGAAAAAAAAAGGAAAAGAGGTAAAGGCAAAACAAAAAAACTTTTTAAAAAATAAGACATGAGGCAGAATCTCTCTCATACTTCGGTTGGCCCAAGCACCAGTCAAAGACTCCATTTCCTCTCATGTTGTGACCGACAGCTCCACTATTGTTCATATAGCTAGGCAGCTGTATACACACAGCAAAAATGTATTACTGCTCTGTTTCCTATACACAAAGGGAAGTCTTTGCTTCTCTCCTGGCAAATACAGCCCCTAGCTACAACCAACAGAGAGGAACTTAAGTCCGATGGAAATAAAGGAAAAGACAGACAAAGAAGAAGCTACAGTGAAGAGCTGAGAAATAAGGGCAGAAATGAAACAATCCCGTGCAGACGAAGGAGTCCGTCACAAAAATATCCAAAGCAAACAGACCAAACAAGAACGGGGAAGACAGTCAAAAGACAAGGCAATATCAGATCAACGGGCACAGGCTTATCCAACGTCATGCTGTGTTTAGCCAACGGTCTGTTTCACTTCCCAAAGTGTATTGTTTACTAGTGTGACGCTTCAGAAAGCAACGGTTGAACACAAGATAATGTGCTTCCTAGCCACAGCCTTACTGTTGGCTCAACTGAGGCACTGAGGCACCATGCAGAGTTAGCTGGCATTTCAGACGCTTACATCAGCACCCTCAACCCTTGCTCACAAATACTGAATTACACAGACAAGACATGGGAAGATGTGACGAGGAGGAGCTTGCGTAAGACGTTATGGCTGCCGCATGGCAGTTCAGAGGCAGACAAAAGAGATGAGAGATTGCCAGTGAGGTCCCTGTGGGAAAACAGCGCTTGCAGCGCTTTGGGCAAAACTCAACATTAGTGGAAGCCTAACCCCTATCCCATCACAATATGGCCTGCATCCCTGATCCCACTGCGAAATTACAAGTGAGCTGCTCCCACGCCATCCGGCTCCCCTCTCCCAATCTAACCCAAACAACGCCCACCCTCCCTTACGTCCGCCTCCTAACCACAGGAAATTAACAGACCACACATCGATTTAGGCTACTCTAAAACTCAAGAGGGGCACATATATGCACACTCAAAAAAAAAGCTAATTACACATGGTTTACACATAAATAGAGATGGCGACAAAACTAAATGGGGTGCCTGTGACAGGGATTAGCACCAGCAGCTTACACAAGACTGATTTTATTGTTTGCCCTTCTTAATCCTTCCCCGTTTCCATCACCCCGTATTTGAAAAGAACAGGAAATAGAAGTGAGCTCCCTTAGAGGAGGGATGTGTCTGTGTAATTAAATTCCTGACCAGACCAGCTCAGCAGTGGTAACCCATATGGTCAAAAACAATCAGTTGGATACAAAAAACACACTCAGCATTGAAGAAAATCCTCTTAATTTAAATATAAATCACGAGCTTGTTGTCTTTTCAAAGCAATTCTGCAACTTCATGTTATTACAAACATGCACAATGAAACCACCAATTAGTTTAATTGCTGGCTAATTTGGAGATTATTTTCTTGATTAATCCTTTGATGTGTAAAAAGACACAAAATGGTTTTAGTCCAGCCAACAGTCTACAACTCAAAGAAATGAAATGTACTATCATGGAGCACATAGAAAACCAGGTAATATTTGCGATTCAGAAGCTGGAACTTTGCTTTAACAATTACCTTAACAATAAATCAATCAATACTAATGATAAATCAATTATCAAAATTGTTGATATTCAATCGAAACATGAATGATCAACTTATTGTTTCAGCTCCAATAGCAGCCATGCTATTTACAGTGGTGTGTATAATATGGTTTATTGTAAGGCATTCTGCAAATTCAAACTGACCTCAAACATCTTAGAAGTGAGTCTGCCTTTTACAATTAATTCTGCAACTATAACATATTGTCCATAACCAATTAAGAAACACAATTGAAACCATAACATTTCCATGAGGCTGTTTAACTGAGAGAAGTACCAGACGAGCTTGTAATCGCTTTGGCCTGAAGTTTTTGAGCTGGGGAGCGAGATGTTCCTCATTGGTTGGAAAAGTGCAACTGTGCATTACTGAAAAGAAAACAAGAAAACCACAACGCAGACGCATTTTCACCACCTAATTACGCAGACAATACGCGTCTGACTCTGTAAACCCAAAATGTTTCTCTGTTTCCGTGCAACACATCTGTAAGATATGACGTTCTGATAGCAGGTACTGTAGGTCGGCTGCTCCTCGCGGTGTGCTGCGGCTGCAGTTTTAGCTCGTTGCCTCGTCTCTCTTTGTCTTCCAACGGCGATAACGTCACTACAGTGAAGTTATTCCATCATTTCAGAGAGGGCGTTATAATGTCTTCATATTGTTAATGAATAGCAGTGGCTGGCATCGGTCTCGGTGATTCAACCGCGACGTGAAAACGAGTCGCGTTAGCAGACGATGAATGGCTACAGATATGATACAAACAGTAGAAGAGGACCGAAGTCGACGTTACACCGAGCTCAACGCTCCCCTGTACCGCGTCACAGTATCATTCACAACCGTTGACCAACAAAATAAACAGCGGTAAGACGGTATTTGTTGCTCACCTGCGAGACACAACACGGCGTACACATTTTTGCGGGGAGACAATAAATAAAATCCGTTGAAGAGTGTGAGGAGCTCGCTGCTTCAGTCGCTTTCTTCCTCCTTATGAAACCACCACCATCACACGAGAACAGCGCGCCTGTCCTCCCCTCCCTGCCTGGCCGCTGGCTATCCCCCCCTCCCTTAATTCCTCCGTGTCTCTCCTCCCACTGCACATCATCACCAACACAAAGCCAGATGTCACAAATGAATTGCAATAAAACCTTAAACACATTAGAAGACCAAGGAATATTAAATGATGGTAGAACAATTTTATGAGATTTCACACTATTATTCAAAAAGATCTACAGTACACACGTCTATCGAGGGATCTGGAGCTGAATATAATAATGCCCCACATAATGTAAATGACTTAACACCTATTGGTAATAGGCAGAACATTTTCTATCACCTTTACGTCTGGCTCACATTCAGCACCTTCATACGAGGCAGTGTGTTCAATTCATTTGTGGAGCTGTTGTTTTTATTTACTGTGGGATGAAATGATTCCAACAGCTGGGGAGGTTATGGCTTGGTAAGGAATATGAATCTGTGTTGTTTGGTGTTATGTTATTGTTATGTAATCTTCAACATCCTCCAAATTACATAAAGTCCTAAGAGAGATCAGTAAACCTGTCTGTTTTGGTTAAATTTACATAAGGCGTGACAGTTTTATTCATGCCACCATCTTAATCATCCCCCTTCAGATCATGCCATATGCTGATCTTGCTGATTCAGACATATGAGCAAATATGACATTCTCCCACCAACCCTGTGCTCATGTTCTGTAACAGCGTGTTGGTTCAACAGGGCTTTCATGGCCACTGCAACGGCCTTGGAATGAGCATGAGCTGATAAGGCTGCTACTGTAGCTCTCCATGACTGTGCTGCTCTTTGCCAGATCGGTCATCTGACCCAGTTGCCGAACACATACACACTCACTGTAGCCACTCACCGCCACCACAAAGTCATTGTGTCCCCTCTCAGTGCTGTATTGTGAGCATTTATGAATATAGGCACAAATCACACAGGCTGCCTTGTCTCTCAACTTATGGGACCAGAACTGCAAACCCTCTGTGCCCAGATCCAAAAAGTGGTCACACTAAACAAGATGGTCAAATGTAAGCATTTGTTGTTTTAAAAACTAAAAGTCGTCAGACATCCCTTAAGGGAAATTAATGCGTGGTCTCATTGTGAGAACTGAAGCAGATGACATTTAACATTACACAGAAAATAGCACTGCTATCTGCACTGCTTTTGTTAAAGAATTTGATTTGGTTAAATATAAAGTGTGATTTTTTATTTTTTTAAATCTGTGACATACTCTCATTCTCTTCTTCTCTGATACTGTTTGACAGAAAACCAAAAGGGCAGCAGAACACCTGCCAGAGCATCAGGCCTCAGACATGTCAGACTGCGTTGAATCACAGTAACGTTGAAGAGAAAGGACAGCGAGGGAACGATACGCCGAGCGACACGTTGTTGAATGAAACTGTCAAGCGTCGCCCTGTCTGCCCTGAAGAGGCATTATGGCTTACGCCACAGAAACACACACACACACACACACACTAACAAATACACACCTCTGATACATGAATAAATAAACCACGAGTATAATTATGACCACATATATTCAACAGGAGAAAAAGTAGACCCTGTGATTTCTTCAAACATGAACTCAGTCTGTATGAGGTAGACGGTATGGACGGTATTGTGTGGACTCGGACAACTATTTCTAATGAATCATATCTTCCAATGTAGTTTCATGCTGAGCTCAGGTAGTCAAGACCACAGAGTGAAAATCCCACATATGCATTTGCACCATTTAAATGTATATACATGAAATAAATCAGGCTTGTTTGTTTGGTTGTTCTTATTTTCAGTCACATAAATATACATATTACAACAGGCTCCCAGAGCTGAGGCATCATTGTTACAATGAAGGAAGACCAGACGCTATTGACCTCTGTTGTACAGCAGTCAATCAATGGGGTGCTACAGACAGCAGCACCTTCGACCGAACCGTAGGCACAATTCTCAACTGATTTAACAGCTACTACCACTAAGATGTCCTAAAGTCAACCACATCTGAGCCCTTTGGTCTCTGCGCTGGACTTCTTCTTTTGCTTCATTCCAGTGGACGATCCTGTGAGCGATGCGGGACAGCTGAGCCACGGACTGGTGTGAAGATGGTCATCATCTGATTACCAAAGGTCCCATCAGAAAATGAGCTTCTTCTTCATCACAGCTGAAAATAACACAAAGACTGTTGTTACAATACATATTAAAAAAACACTTCAGAACAATACAGCGACATACTGTATCTACACTGCATGTGCAAGTAAAACAAGGCTATAACGAGAAATCTGCAAACATCTAAAGTTTCCATCTACTTTAAGTATTTGGAAATTCTCTCTGTAATATACTGTAGCATACAGCATAGCGTAGAGGCAACCCAGACATTTTACAAACCACAGGAGCTGGAAAAGCTTTGAACCTCCCAGTAACACCAAGGTCCTCCTCCAGTAAAACATAGCCTACCACAGTCCACTAAACTGTGTGTGTGTGTGTGTTCTACTTTGCTATATTCTGAATTTCTAACTGCAGTTAAATGAGCAGCAAACATCCTTTGAATTGCTAGGTTCAATCATCGTGGTGTGCATAACCATGAGAGCACAGGATCGGTTCACTAGGCTAACATTTCACAACATGCTTGATGTAAGTTTGGTCTGAGTGGGATGTTCTAAAATGTCCGGCTCTAACATTCTGTGGCAGACACCATTTAAACCATAATAATATTGACCGGCTTTATTTGACTTTGGAGGTACTTGGTGGATTAACAGGGGTACAATATAGCAACTGTGAGCTAATATGTGTGGATTACTCGTCTCCAGGCCCTCGATTTTCCTCTTGAGCCCGATTGTTTCCTTCTCCCTCAGAGCCTCAGCTGAACCGTTGGGTCGGGGGAGTAGTGGACCAGGAGTGGGACCAGGTCGATTACTGAAGTACTTCGTTTTCAGAGCCTGGAGAACAACAGACAACAGTATAAATAATGTCATCACCTGCTGATGGGCAATCAGTCCTTACAAACATATACTGCAAGTATGCATTTACAAGACTATCTTCTTGTATACGTCTACTTTTGTCACCTTATTCACTGAATGGAGTCTGAAAAAAAATGCCAAAAGATGTAGGAATTAACCGTTTCCAAGAAAAGAAAAACATTGTTTTATTCCTTGTATCTCACTCTGTTGTTCCCTTCTTTCTGTTTCCAAAAGAGCTCTATAAAATGCTGATCATTGGAAAATGTGTAGATTAAAAGACATCTGGATATGTGTCCTAGACATCATGTTGATCAAACTCACCATTAGGGTAATAGTTTATTGCAACACATCTCTCAATATCTCTTAACTTAATATGTAAAATGTTCCTTGAGACTTGTAGTCTTCAGTGTCTGCATACATTTAACAATAGCATATTATTCCTATAATGCGAGTATGAGAAAAGCTACTGTGCTTCAGTGGTGCGTTACCTGTGTAGCTGTGGTCCTCGTTAAGGGGTTAAAGGTGAACAGGCCCTGTAGCAGCTCCAGTAAGTCGTCTCCAGCTGCACTAAATATATGTTCCAGCGGTGTCCCAAGAAATATTTTGAAGGACACATAATCTGGTAGACTATTCATTCCCTGCAGACATATAGGACAAACAAATTAAACAAGGGACTTCACTTGTGAGCAAAGCCAAAACATCCATCACTGGGAAAAAAAAACAAGATACCAACCGGCCACGTTTCTTCTGTAGGCGTCCCAAGAGCCTCAAAGATCTTTGTCAGCTGGTCAAGATCTGAGTCTCCAGCCAGGAATGGTATCTACAGCAAAGGAGACATGCAGAGACATAAGCAAGGAAGCAAAAAATAACAGCATTCCTTGTTACTGTATGAATATATATCTCTTTGAAGTGAGGTTTGTGCACCCGAAGGAGTAACTCTGCCAAGATGCATCCCACTGCCCACATGTCAACACCCACACCGTACATCCTGGCACCAAACAGGAGCTCAGGGGAGCGGTACCACCTAAGAAAAAGATCAATAGACAGAGAGTTACTTTGTACAACTCTTAAAACAGGCATTACGTACACTACTCCTCCAGAGAGATTAATCCTGTTGAACTAGAATGAAGCCTACTGCACCTGGGAAACCTTGAGATTCTTTAGCCAGTAGGGGACAAGATCTCCACGAGTCTAAACATCTATTTTAGAATACGTGCTGTCACACGTCTTACCTTACCCACGTGCCTGAAATTAAGGTGAATTGAATCAACCAGTCTCAAATGTATCTCCTAATGACAGACAATTAATTTAATGAAACTAAGCACATGAGGATTCATTTATCTAAATTGATTTAGTTCAGGAGATTTCCGTTAAGTGAACCAAAAAGACAAGCTAATGTACAGATAAGTATAAGATCTGTATTAGTCACACACTCTGATGGACAAAAAGCACAGACCTGGTAACAACTTGATGTGTGTACACTCTGTTGGGGCTGCCAAACGCTTTGGCCAAACCAAAATCAGCCAACTTCAACACTCCATTGCCGTCTAGCAGCAGATTATTGGGCTTCAGATCCTGTACGTACAAAGCAGCAAAATGTAAATTACTGACTGTGTGGTGTGTGTGTGCGTGTGCGTGTGCGTGCTCTTACCCTGTGTAGGACCCAGTGGTGGTGCATATACTCTAATCCCTGTAGGGTCATGAGGATGTAGGCTTTGATGTTGGCCGGAGTCAGGACTAGGCTGGTGTCTTTGATGATCACCTTAAAAAAAACAAAAGAGCTTAAGTAAGGCCGGATATCTGAAAAGTAATAATCTTCATCCATTACACTCTGGGCTCCACATTAAAAATGACTCCTACCAGAGCAGACAAGAGAACCAAAGACAACATGGACACATCTCTGACGACGTAGACACAGCTGCTGCCAGGCCAAACGGCACAAACCAGATTCAACCTCTCACCCAGAATCTCCATTGTTCCTCCAGCTCCACCATCACTGACTCCACTATCCTGCCACTTCACTTTATTGGTAAGAAAAGCATCAAAACATCTGTAGTTGATAAGCTCATGCAGCCAAACGCAACCTTGTGGCCTAAAAATAGTCTTTCAGCACCAGCAATAAGATGAGCATCATATTTCATCCTCATGTCCGTCTGCTGCCTGTGAGACACTAATGGCATCAATTCGCTGCGAGAGCCAAGAGTGGAGTGTTATTGATTTTTTTTAAAAGCGTAGTTATCTTGTTTTGCATCGTTCTATTAGAGCCTGATATATTGGTGGTGGGCGCCCATCTGGAGCCTCGTATGCTAAAACAAACCAGAGAAGGAAAATAAAAGCCTCAGTGACCTTGCAGAACCACTTAATGGTTAAACGGGAGCACTCACGCTGCTTTCTTTGTCATCCGGCTCCTATTTTCAGTGCTGCTGAAAATACATCTACATCTTCTGACCTTACACCCCTCAATTACAATCTTTTCATCTATTCGCTCATTCTTTGGCCTGCTCAGCCAGTCACAGACAGAAAGCTGAACATAACATCAAACTAAATATTGTCAGAGTTGCCACACACCTAAAGTAGATATTTGTGGGGAAAAAGAAATCACTAATGAAACCCAGCTTTTAAATCTGGTTTTTAAATCTCCCTGATCTCAATTAAGAGGGAGGTTATAAAGACTGAAATTTCCATCTGGTGGCCTGCTAATGAAATGCAACATAAAGTTATTTTACGACCATGAATGAGTGTTGTAAACTCTCCACACAGAGAGAGAGAGAGAGAGAGAGAGAGAGAGAGAGAGAGAGAGAGAGAACCTATCAGACACCAGTGTTGATAAATAAGCTGCATGTCTCACTGTGTGAACAGACTGGGATCATTCTTTTGTGTGCAAGGACACCTCAGGCTTGACTTAAACATTGCTTTCCTACCTCTGGAAAACAAACTGTAACAAAGAAATACATTGATATAAATTTGCTGAATTGTTGTTTATTATTTCAATAATAAATCGTACACCAGCTAGAATCACGATGCAAGTGTAAAATGTTTTAATGTTGCAACAACTTGGTCAAAACCTAAACAGGAATTAAAATGTCCAGTATCTAATGTAAATATAAACATAGAATTTATTAGATTGTCACAATTATCACCAATACCCAATCCAGCTATTTGAGTCGGTATCGGCCCGATATCAGATATTCGGTGCATCCATATTAATGACAGACAAACCCTCAGAGCTTTACTATTTTAAGTCTTGGCTAATATCTTTCCTGATAAAAGTCATTCAAGACACACTCAGGAAATGCAGTTTCTCAATGGGTAATTGTGAGGGTCTACATAATATCGCACCATGGTATTCCAGGCTATCCCTTGAAAGACACAGACGGACAGAGAGTTTCTGAAAAGAAAAGAAAGTGTCTCACCTCCAGGTCTGTTTCCATGAAATCAAACACCAGGCTGATGTTAGATTTGTGTCCAAAGGCATCCAGCAGCTAAAAACACAAAATACTTGACATGTTAATGCTCACTTCAAGTTAGGAGAATACTTACAACATGGTCGTTTTCCTTCACAAGTAATACCATTTACATATTAATAAGATTAAAACAATTCTGACACAATGGATGTTTACCCACCCCAATGATATTTGTATGATGCAGTTCCTGCAGCAGTTTGATCTCTCGAAGAGCAGTCCTGTTAATACCTATTGATTAGAAATCATTCATTAGGTGGGTGGAAAACATCACGTGTGCTATTATACATAGTCATATACATATATATAGTCAGTCAGCATTTAATTACCATCTTTAGCCTCAGTTCTGTGGCCAACTTTAATCTGCCAGAAAGAAAAAAAACAAAAACAGCTTGGCGTTTACGGTCTGCATAGCATACAAATGGTAACAGACGTCTAAATGTAAGCTAATTTATTTTACCTTTTTAATGGCAACTATGGTATCAGTCGTTTTGTCCCTGGCTTTGTACACTGTGGCGAACTGGATGAGAGGAACAGAGAGAGATAAGTACAGAAACACAGCGCCCGAATGTCTATTTATTTTACAGCACTGATGCTGTCAGCACAATAGCATGAACCAGCAAGGCTTTGTTGACATTAACAACCAGCTAACGCTTGTTAGCAAAGCTAACATGCTTTCTACACAGCCACTCAGAACCCGCGAGGGGAAGAACGTAGACAGATATTAAGACCGCGATAACTGATTATTGCCGAATGAGTATTGCCTCTTCCTACCTGACCCTCTCCGAGGAAATCCAGTTTCTCGTATCGTTTGTTTCTGGATTTTACATCATGCGCCATGATGGCTAACTGTCAGTTTCACGAGGACACTTCCTGCCTAGTTAAAGGTCCGTTTGTTCTCATTCCGGGTCAAAGGAGGTTTTGTATTGACCAACACCGCCACCTAGCGGTTCAAATTCACACTGAGAACACTGTATCAACTTGGATAGTATTTTGATCAATTCTATTTCATTTTTAGGGATTGTTCTGATTGTGAACATTTGTATGCACTACTGTGAGCAGAACAAATAATAAGATGATATCAAAACTAAATGAAATAATAATATATCGATAATATTCAAATATTTGCTTAGTACGATTTCTTAAACAACTAAAGAAAAATAAATCTCAGCTCAAATTTGATCTGTTATCAAATTACTAAACACTTGGCAAACTTATGTAGCAGGTTTGTATTATATCATATTACATATATCATATGGCGTTTCTTTTTATGACTATTACTACAACCACTACAAATAAGAATATTAATACTGTGATTTTAATACAGTAAAACAAAATCATAGTAAACTTCGTATGATTTCTTAATTATTGACAGAACCACAAAACTAATCTCAACTCAGATCGTATGTGTTCTCAAAGTCCTGTAACATTTCACAGTTAGGATGCAATATGCAGTACTGTTATGTTCAAGACAGTCAAGACCTTTTTTTTCATTTTTTTTAGCAGTTACCAGTTTGACATTGGTCTCTTGGGAGTCTCTTCTGTCAGTTAGGAAGGTTTTGTGATCCATGCACCGCTGAACACATCTCTACATCCTATCTCCATACATATAGATACCCTCCCATCCCACAGGATTAGGCACGGCTCCTCTCCTTTGACCCTCCCTGCCTCTCACACACACACACACACACACACACACACACACACACACACACACAC